TTCTCAAGAGGTGGGTAGTAATTCCCATTTTACAGAAGGAAAACTATAGAGGCTCAAAGAAGTTGGAGTTGCATGCCTCATGCCATCCAGCATTGGGTCACTGGGCCCTAGATACATGCAGTGTCCGAAAACCTATTGAACAGGGAGGTTTAAGGAAAAACTATAATTAATTAAGAATGATAATAATATCCAACATTTGGGATCAGCAGTTGGCGTAATGGCTATGTTGCTGGACTCCCAGCTAGTCGATCATGGTTTGAGTCCCGGACCTGGTGGCTTAAACTCATGCAGGGCGCACGTGGGTGCATGCCCAAGATCCCAAGAGGAGAATGGAGGAAGGGACTGCAGTGTGACCATCCTCCCTGGAGGGTGATTTTTCACTTTCTGTCTCTCTGTCTCTCTCTGTCTTTCTGGAGAGCACACGCGCCCTATAGCAAAAAAACTTCAAGAAAAAAATACATATACATATATATATATATATATATCTCCAACATTTACCGAAAACTAGGTATTTCCCATTTAGGAAATACAGGAAACTGCTGTACAGACAGGTGAAGTGATTTATCCAGAGTCCAACAGGAAATAAGTAGCTCAAACCTCCTTAAAACCAGCCCAGCTCCTGGATTTGGAGCCAGAGCTCTCTCCAGGTGCGGCCACACTCTGCCATGGTGTTTAGCCAGGCTTCTGCTTGGTCCCGGCCAGCAACCCCCTAGACGAGGCATTGCTAAACTCAGTTTTTGAAAGAGGAAGCCCGTACTCAGCCAGATGATGGTGGCAGATGGTATGAAGCAGCGTCTGGGTTTGAAGACAGACCAACAGCAGGCACAGAACCCTCAGCTCTTCCCTTTCGGCAACCCTCACACCTGCCTGGCAGGAACATCTGGAAGTCTTCAAGCATTGGCCATGCCCTCTCCAGGTTCATGAGGAGCACAACTTCTGTCTCCACTTCCTTCCCACCCCCTTCTCTGGGCTTCTTCCAGTAGGAGGTGTTAGGGGGTTAGGCTCCACCTGCAGCTTATCCTATCTGGGCCAGCGCTCACCTTTGTCCCTCGATTTCTTCATCTATGAAATGGGGAGCCTAGGAAAGCTCAGCCTTCAAAAAGCCTTCAGCACCCTGAATAGCTCTTCATCCAGAATTTCGCAATTAAGGGATTGCGCCCCAAAGGACTTCGAGCTGTGACCCTACATACCCGTCTGCCCCACCTCTCTGAGGGCCTATCTGGGAAAGTGATCTCTCCAAACACGGAAATAAGCCAGCTCCGGTGAGGACTGATCTAACCACCTCTGCTCCACACTGCGCAGGTAAGAAAAACGAGCTCAGAGAGGAGTAGCCTTTCGCTGGAGGTGACACAGCGAATGTCTGGGGTGGGGGTGAGCGGTGTTGTGGAATTCCTGGCGGACGTTGGCGCCCGTTTGTCTGCCCGCTTCAGATACACGGGTTCAGGAGAATAGGCCGCTAACAAGCGCCCCATTAGGAGGAATTGTCACTCCTCTGGGAGCGAGGTTGTCCCATTAGGGCGAATTGTCATTCCTCCTGGAGTGAGGTTGTCCCGGCTCCGCGCAGGCTGAGTGCCGGGCCGAGAGCAATTAACGCGGCT